CGTATATATATATATATATATAAGGTGGCTGTAAAATCAGTATGGGCACTTGGAAACCTGAAAGCCAGCGGTGTAATATAGAGGCGAAATATCATAAAGGATAAGGGCCGGTTTATTTCACTGGTTTCTAGAAATATATTAGTTAAAGTGATCGTAACAACTGTTCAGAATTTCCGCTATCCTGAAAATAACATAGAATATTGGAGCACTTAACGTCTCCAGAATTGTCTGAAAATAGTATAGAATATTTTAGCACTTAACGCCTTCCAGAATCGTCTGAAAATAGTATAGAATATTCTAGCACTTAACGCCTTCCAGAATCGTCCAAAAATAGTATAGAATATTCTAGCACTTAACGCCTTCCAGAATCTTCTCGTTTGATTCTCTGGCGCTTCACCGATAGATACGTATTTTTAGAAAGCTCCGCAACCAACGCCATCATTTGGGAAGGGAAGGGGGCGACAAGAGCAGCCAATCCACAAGCTAGGAAGGAAACCACCAATATCAGTTTCTGTGAGATATTTTAAAACAGACCGGATTAACACAAGTATGCAAGTTATGCCATATCGTAGTTCCCCAGTTTAATTGGGAGGGGGGGGGGGTTACGCAAGGTCATTCTTATTTGTCACCTCCTAAGCCTTTTGAAATAAATTTCTCTCTAGAAGTAGTACTAAGAAGACGAGAAGCTAGTTGAGTGTTGTGGTCCAGCGTATTGGAAGCGATGTCTAAGAACCTGGCCTTCTATAAAAGTCAGGCCACATCTTGCGATGGTTTTAAGATGATCAGCATTCAGCCATTCTAATGTTATAGCTCCATTAATATGACCCATTCTTCCAAGCTGAGTATTGTCTTGTGCCTACCACTGCTTGTAGAGATCGTCCGTATCGTATTTTCTTAGCATATAACGGTATTCCACGACCCTAATTCTATTTACAGTTTTATTTTATTACAAGTTACAGCTTTTACAATAAGGAATAATATGTTTAAAACAGGTACGGCGTTTCGATCACTGGTGCGATCATTCTTGTGTACTTGATCGAAACGTCGTATCTATCTTTAAAATATGCTTCCTTACTGTAAAAGTTGTAACTTGTAATAAAATAATACTTATAATCAGTAAGTAAACTCAAAACAAAACTATTTACAGTTTGTTTGCTCACAGTAATCTAAGTTCAAAATCTTATGGCTCAGACATAGTCAGCCCTAATTGGGGAAAAGAATCAAAGCGGCTACGTTTAATTAAATAGCGGGATTGACTGTTGCTCTTATAACGCACCCATAACTTAAAATGAAAAAAAAAAACTTTAGTATAACCACGTCAAAAACCCAAGACCAACAAATACCCATCCAATATGCTAACCACCAGGCCACACTCGGGCCTATTATTTATAGAAGTCAGTGGAATTCATTCATGTTCTCTTACTCATATTCGCAAATATATTTCGTCCATACATTCACGGTTCGCCCTAAAGATTGTTCTAAGTACCAATATTCGCAAATATATTTCGCCCATACATTCACGGTTCGCCCTAAAGATTGTTCCAAGTACCATACTGACTTTATAAGTATCTTTCTTAATTAACATAAGTCTGAAACGCAAGGTAAAATATTCCTGTTTTGGTTAAAAGTGTAATTGTTACAAAAGCTACCCCCAATAGACTTGGGTAAATAGTAACAAACCTTCTATATGAATTGACCTGTGATGATAAACTTTAAAATCTAAGAATATATTTTCTTGAATAGGTCAAAATATTATTTTTTCTAAACTAAACAAATATCTGTAAAATAAACAACATGGCAAATTCAATGAAGAAACTATTTGAATACAAATTTAAATTCGTTTCTGAATCTTTTCTGCTTTTATTAGTAACTAATATATTAAGACAAAACACATGTCACGGAAGAAAAAAAAATAGTATTGCTCTACAGATTTATATAGTAATTAATGCCTTATTCTTTACATATAAACCTACATACTTTGTGAAAATGTCACAAAATATGATTGTTACGTTAACAATTTCAGTGTATCTGCAAATAATTAAGGAGAGTATTGCATAAGGAATTTTACTATCCTAACCTTTTTCCCATCTTTTGAAGGTTTTATAAAATAGTTGCCATCCGGATGTTTATCAAAGAACTTGCGAGATTTTGGTGCTTGGTCGAGAAGATGTTTGGGTGGCATTCCAAGGACTTCGATAATCTTGTACATCTGGTCTACCTTTAAATTAAGTATGAACAAATATATTTTACTTCATCATTTCAAAACTTTATTGCTGTAGTAAAACATTAAACGAAATAAAACCAAGTTCATTCAATATATAACGATTAATACATGCGTATAGAATAACAATCAAAAACAAGAATCATGGAATTGTCGCTGTCTTCTTTTTTTTTTTTTTTCGTGCCCACAGTGGCACAGTGGGATGTTTGCAGATTTAGAATGCTAGAAATCGGGTTTCGATACCCGTGGTGGGCAGAATAAAGCTAGTCCATTGTATATTTTTGTGGTTAATTACAAACATCCGTCTGTTTGATAAATAAAAAGACTTCAGAATGATTAATTTTCTCACTTTTAGTTTTGAATTTCAGAGTCATCCTTTTAATATCGCAAGATTGTGGACAAGACGACACACATAAGCAGGAATTATTTTTGACCATCAACGTAAAGAATTCTCGTCTTTTATTTGTTATAAGTAATCAGTTTCTTAAATTGAACATTTTGGTGTATTTTAAAACACCAGTCTTACGAGAGCAGAGTTGATATTTTTATTCCAGTATTTTACTACACCAGTCTTACGAGAGCAGAGT